AAAAAAAAGAAAGGTGTCATAGGGGAGTTGAGTAGCTCCCACAACCAGAAAGACTTGTCCAACTGGAACTTGGGGGTGGGGGGCGCCTCAGGTCTCTTTCCTTCCTGCATCATGCTGTTTCTTGCCCTGTCAGTTACCCAGACGCTTGGCCTTGCTTTTCCCCACGATACAGGTGGCGGCCTTCAAATCGGGTGGTCATCACAGCAGCAGCTCCAAGCTGGTGACATGCCAGCTTAGGAAAGAGGGCTTCTCCTTGGCTTATCAAAAAGGCTTCTGATGTAAAAAGGGATTCTGATTGGTCCATCTTAGGTGACAGAGCCACCCCTTGAACAAACCAGTTTGGCCAGGGGGCTGCAGTACTTCAGTTGGCCAGGCCTGAGTCCCATGCTTCTCCTTGTAGCCGCAACATGGGCAGCCCTCCAGAACTGCAGGGTGGAAGTGGGAATAGCAGTGATGAGGCTCTTATCCCCCCAAACGGTGTGATCTGGGGTAGACACAAACCACAGATGTCCCTGACCAGAATGTAGGCACCTGAGAAGTCTAGGGGTTGATCTGTGAGCACGGCATTCGTCTCCGGGAAGAGGACCGATGTGTCTGTCTGTCAGGAGGTGGTTCCTGTGCTGTGGGGCAGGCCAGGGAGGCAGCCCGGCTCCATGTAGAAAATTTTCTGGGTGGTACAGTCTAACATCCAGAGGCTTGGCTCTAAGCTCAGATGCTGGCTTCAGACCTGGCAATGCCACTTACTAGCTGTGGGACCAGAGCATTTTTCTCTTATAAAATGGATAATTTTGATGAGTCTGTGGCATTTTGCCCTGCCCTATTTAATTCAGTAATTGCTGATTATTTTTCCCATAATTGGGTTGTTCCGGTCCACTAGTCCATTCACATGGCCTGAGAACCTTCCTTCCTATTCTGTGTTGATTTCATCAGACCAGCTCTTCTCTTGGAGTTCTGGGTCCCCTAACCATGGGCCGAGGACTGGCTAGTGTGCCCATGGGATCCCCGAGCCTCGGCGGTTTGCCCTTGTGCGGAGAGGTCGGTGGGTTGTACACCAGGACAGCTCTCAGAGGCATACGGACGGCACCGCAGCGAGAGGGCAGTCCAGGGCCCTCGGGCAGCAGGAAGAAAATCTGTAGGATGGAGGATGGCATTCCCCCAGTGGGTGGCACATAACGTGCAGTGAAACACCCGTGAGAGGCGTTTGGGGGCTCAGTGTCCCACCCATTTTCTGGATTGTAGGAAGAGTGGAGCCAAAGAGAAATTGTGAGTGTCGCAATGGCTCAAGCCCTGGAGGAGGTGCGGAAGCAGAGGGAAGAGTTCCAGCAACAGGTAGGCCCCATTTGACCCTGAGGCACGGGCCAAAGGGTGGTGTGTTCCAGCCTCGGGCAGGACCAGCCTGCCTCCCCGTGTGTCCCCCTCCAGGGGCTGGACACAGGTGTCAGGAATGCCAGGAACTGTGTGATTGATGACCCTGAGGTCTCTAGGAAGGTGGGAGAAAAACGTCATAAAGAAATCCTCACCCCACGGGATGGCCTTTTTGGATGTTTGATGGCCGGTTACTGTTGTAAACCTTACCTGGGGAAAAGCCCGCATCCAGGTGCCTCCTGGGCTCTGACTCTGTGAGGGGCATCGCTGCCCACAGGCCCCGGAGAACGCAGTACAGCTGAGCCGTCAG